ACTATAGAGTCAGTGGTATCTGCTATAGAGTCAGTGGTATCTACTATAGAGTCAGTGGTATCTACTATAGAGTCAGTAGTATCTACTATAGAGTCAGTGGTATCTACTATAGAGTCAGTAGTATCTACTATAGAGTCAGTAGAATCTACTACAGAGTCAGCAGTATCTACTACAGAGTCAGTAGTATCTACTATAGAGTCAGTAGTATCTACTATAGAGTCAGTAGAATCTACTACAGAGTCAGCAGTATCTACTACAGAGTCAGTAGTATCTACCACAGAGTCAGTAGTATCTACTATAGAGTCAGCAGTATCTACTACAGAGTCAGTAGTATCTACTATAGAGTCAGCAGTATCTACTACAGAGTCAGTGGTATCTACTACAGAGTCAGTAGTATCTACTACAGAGTCAGTAGTATCTACTGCAGAGTCAGTGGTATCTACTACAGAGTCAGTAGTATCTACTAGAGAGTCAATGGTATCTACTATAGAGTCAGTAGTATCTACTACAGAGTCAGTAGTATCTACTACAGAGTCAGTGGTAACTACTACAGAGTCAGTAGTATCTACTATAGAGTCAGTGGTATCTACTATAGAGTCAGTGGTATCTACTAGAGTCAGTAGTATCTACTACAGAGTCAGTAATATCTACTATAGAGTCAGTACTATCTACTATAGAGTCTGCAGTATCTATTATAGAGTCAGTAGTATCTACTATAGAGTCAGTGGTATCTACTATAGAGTCAGTATTATCTACTACAGAGTCAGTAGTATATACTACAGAGTCAGTAGTATCTACTACAGAGTCAGTAGTATATATTATAGAGTCAGTAGTATCTACTATAGAGTCAGCAGTATCTACTACAGAGTCAGTGGTATCTACTACAGAGTCAGCAGTATCTACTACAGAGTCAGTGGTATCTACTACAGAGTCAGCAGTATCTACTACAGAGTCAGTAATATCTACTATAGAGTCAGTAGTATCTACTATAGAGGCAGTGGTATCTACTACAGAGTCAGCAGTATCTACTACAGAGTCAGTGGTATCTACTACAGAGTCAGTAGTATCTACTATAGAGTCAGTAGTATCTACTACAGAGTCAGTGGTATCTACTACAGAGTCAGTAGTATCTACTACAGAGTCAGTAATATCTACTATAGAGTCAGTAGTATCTATTATAGAGTCAGTAGTATCTACTATAGAGTCAGCAGTATCTACTACAGAGTCAGTGGTATCTACTACAGAGTCAGTAGTATCTACTATAGAGTCAGTGGTATTTACTATAGAGTCAGTAGTATCTACTACAGAGTCAGTGGTATCTACTACAGAGTCAGTAGTATCTACTATAGAGTCAGCAGTATCTACTAAAGAGTCAGTAGTATCTACTATATAGTCAGTGGTATCTACTATAGAGTCAGTGGTATCTACTATAGAGTCAGTGGTATCTACTATAGAGTCAGTGGTATCTACTAGAGTCAGTAGTATCTACTACAGAGTCAGTAGTATCTACTACAGAGTCAGTAGTATCTACTATAGAGTCAGTAGTATCTATTATAGAGTCAGTAGTATCTACTATAGAGTCAGTGGTATCTACTATAGAGTCAGTAGTATATACTACAGAGTCAGTAGTATCTACTACAGAGTCAGTAGTATCTACTACAGAGTCAGTGGTATCTACTACAGAGTCAGTAGTAAGAGGACATCAGGGCGATGGACGAGATGCCCTCCGCGGGAGCCAGAATTTCGGCTAAGCCACCGAAATTGTAGTATATATATTAAAAAAACACACACGTGAGATCACAGTAACACAACGTTAATCAAACAACCCGAGTGAAACTTTTATATTTTATATATTTTTAGAAACTCACGCCCGCCAAAAAAGTCCCGAGCCCCGTGAAGAGATTGATTGGTTCTTTTTTTGGAAATCAGGAACTTATCCGGAATAGCATCAAATAATGACTCGCTCGATTACTCACTCTCAGCCTCTTATTGATCGTAGATGTGATGACGTGGATAAGGAGACCGTGAGCATGATTAGCTACTACGTACGGTCCGAAAGAAGTTCAACATATGTACATACTGCCCATAGACTAACACTGTGCATAGACTAACACTGCCCATAGACTAACACTGCCCATAGACTACACTGCCCATAGACTCAACACTGCCCATAGACTAACACTGCCCATAGACTAACACTGCCCATAGACTAACACTGCCCATAGACTAACACTGTGCATAGACTCAACATTGTCCATAGACTACCACTGTGCATAGACTAACACTGCCCATAGACTCACAACTACACATAGACTAACACTGCACATAGACTAACACTGTGCATACACTCAACACTGCCCATAGACTAACACGGTGCATAGACTCAACACTGCCCATAGACTCAACACTGCCCATAGACTCAACACTAACCATAGAGTCAACACTACCAATAGACTCAACACTGCCCATAGACTCAACACTACCCATAGAGTCAACACTACCCATAGACTCAACACTGCCCATAGACTCAACACTGCCCATATAGTCAAGACTGCCCATAGACGCAACACTACCCATAGACTCAACACTGCCCATAGATTCAACACTGCCCATAGATTCAACACTGCCCATAGACTCAACACTGCCCATAGATTCAACACTGCCCATAGATTCAACACTGCCCATAGATTCAACACTGCCCATAGATTCAACACTGCCCATAGACTCAACACTGCCCATAGACTCAACACTACCCATAGACTCAACACTGCCCATAGACTCAACACTACCTATAGACTCAACACTGCCCATAGACTCAACACTGCCCATAGATTCAACACTGCCCATAGACTCAACACTGCCCATAGATTCAACACTGCCCATAGACTCAACACTGCCCATAGACTCAACACTGCCCATAGACTCAACACTGCCCATAGACTCAACACTGCCCATAGACTCAACACTGCCCATAGACTCAACACAGGACCCACAAACGAAACGCAAAAATCGCTTCGGTGTATCGGTGACTCCGATGCTGATGAGCCCAAATTGTGGTGAAACTTGTCCACTGTTGTTTTGTTCTGTCGCTGCACCACTGCTGCTTGGCAGTCGGCGTTGTCACATTCGAAGGAATGTATCATCAGACTGGTGCACAAAGCGCCGTCTTCTTAGCCAGGCAAACGTTTTCAATAGATACAATAATTAACCTGATACGATTTTTTATTTTTTACAATTTACATCCACGATCAGGCCATTAGCCACTACTCCTGAAATTCGTATTTTTCGGAAGAAAAAGCACAAAAATTGTTGACGGCTTCATTTAACTTATCATATTAAAAGACATGCACCCATCGGAAACCGCTCGATTGAAATATTCTGGTCTTTGTCATGAGAAAGAATAATCATTAATTATCGTAATAGTCTACACGGGGAAGCTCTCAGATTTAAACATCACAAAACGCGTCCTTTATTTCGTTCAAACCCGCTTGAACCCGAAATATCTCAAAAACAATAAAAGATAGAACAATGGTTCTCGCTTTAGTTGTATTTGCCGTCTGACGCTCTGAACTCCAAAAACTGCCATCTTGTATGTAGAACTGGGTGTGAATGACACCGGGCACAAACATGTTTATAGGGCACTTAAACGTCCAGATTTGGGGGCCTAAAAATAAAAATAAATCTCGGAGTTTCACATTTTTCTGAATGTTTGTGTCCTGAAAGTTGCCTGTGTACCACATTTCAGATGTCTACCCTGCAGGAAGTGCCCTTGAGGTTTGTGAGACGCACAGATTGAGGGCTTTATTTATAAGGCAGATGATGGCATGAGACACAAGCCCCTTCACGCGCGCTTCGAGTGAATGCCCAATGGGAGTTTTTGCTGTTGCGAAACACCGGACTGCCGTGCGCGCCTGCTAGCACGTGCACAAGTCGTGTGATTGACGCTTGCGGTGGTAAGTCCAACAAGAAATACATCGTTGTACTGCACGTATATGCTCCCAGCCTATTCCTTCATCTACCCGCATTGACCGTAGTGGTGAAGTATGGTCTTTATTCGCATATGTCCAGTCGATTACCGCTCACGGCCAACAGCAGTTGGCCAATATCTGAGCCGGTGTTGTGCATCCCCTAGGTCGACTCAGATTTAAGAAACGAGCACCCGATGAGGTGTATAAAATATTAGCGGTGGGGAGACAAAAGCGGCCGGCCGTGTGTGCTCCCCCTCCGTGCCCCCCCCCTCCTCATGTGCTGTGCCACTCGAGTTCAATTCTCCCCTAGGTCGACTCAGCCTCAAATGAGTAGTACCTGCTGCGGTGTGTAAACATCGCCACTGGGGAGACAAAGGCGGTCCGGGCGTGGTGCCGGCCACCCAACCCACCCCCTCGTGTGCAGTTGCGGCCTTCATAGCTGCTCGCTAACAGCACTTGCCCCAGCATCCCATTGAAGGCTATTCTTGGGCAGGGGGAACTTTAGTCTTTACTTTCTCAATGTCTCGTTGAACTTTCCACCACAACATCAACCGACCAACTTACACCGCCAGTCCGCGTCTCTCGAATTTCCATAACCGGTTCCTGCGAACACAGTCGGAAGACGGCCGTACACACGCCCCTCTTCACAGGCAGGCGGGACGCACGTGGGCGCGGGCCGCAGCAAGAAATCCATTCGGTCACTCGCCACAAAAATCTGCGGTCGCCAATTCTGCCGAACTCAAACCCACGCCTTTGCATTGGAACCCACGCCCCGCGTGTCTGCCTCCCACTACCCTCCTCCCCTCTCTCACAACCCACGAACAGAGAGGGGAGGGTGGAAGGAGGGTGCTGTGTGGGTGGGTAGGTGGGGGATTTCCTAACCTCCCTGGCCAGATTCGCTGTAACTCGCAGGGCTGGTTTCGGTTCCTGGTGGAAATTCCGGACGGGCGGAGGGCAATTTACGTGAGCTCGTGGTGGGGGGGGGGGGGCACTTGAGTGGGTTGGTCGACTTATAAAAGCGTTGCTGCTCAAGCAGAGTCAAAGAGTTCGGCGAAACCCGAGAGAGACACGCACGGAGATCGGTCTCAGTTGAAGTGCCCCATGCTGTGTGTTGCCGTCCCATACCGAATCGGGAAATGCGTCTGCAAGTCTTGTTGACAAGATAATTCGCACGGGCTCATTACGAAGCCAGACCCAGTGCTGCTGTGCGAACAACAACAACAGAAACAACAACAGCAGCAGCAACAGCACAACAGCAGCACAGCAGAACAACCGAGCTGACCCCGGAGAGCGCCTCGCACCTGCCCCGGTGACTCTCGCTCCATCGGCAGCCGATCAACGGCATCGAGACCCCAGCGGGCCGCTGGGACCGTAACCCGCACGACGACCCACAGCCGCTCGGCTACAGAGGGACACTCGGAGGAGGAGGAAACGATGTCGAGTCGCGACAGCTTCCTGAGCGAGAGGGGCTTCACGGTCCACGTCCCCGCCGGCGACTTGGGCTGCCCAGAAGAAGGCCGTGGCAAGGGCACCTCGGGCAGCAGCAGCAATGGTCTCTGCAGGGGTCTCATCACGATCCTGGCCGCGCTGCTGGTGATGGGGGCCACGGGAGCCATCGTGTTCGCGCTCTACCAGGCGCGCCGGGACCTCGCCAATCTCAAGCAGGTGGGTGGCCGTGACCGAAACGAAACGGTGGAGCCTCGGCGCCGAGCGGCCGGCAACAAGCAGCACTAAAAAAAGACAGACCCCCCCCCCCACCACCCCGTATAGACTCCTAAACAGACTGTCGGGGCAAGTGCTGTTAGCGAGCAGCAGCAGCAGCACCTATGACCTATGACCTATGAAGGCTACCGGCACTGTGGCAGGCACACCGAGGGGGTGGGTGGCCGGCAAACTCGCCCGACCGTCTTTGTCTCCCCCAGTGGCGATGTTCACTGCGCACACCGCGCCAGGCACTTTTGTAGCCACGACCGAGGAGTCTGCAACGTGGCAGACGCCGCTTCGTGGTGCCACTGCTTCTAGAGGCGATAATGCCTCCTAGCCACAATCGTCTACACGGGGGTGTCCGTGGGTCTACGTGAGTCTGTGGGTCTCCGTGAGTCTGTGGGTCTCTGTGTGGGTCTGTGAGTCGGTGGGTGTCTCTGTGAGGCTATGGGTCTCTGAGCGAGTCTCTGTGTGAGTCTCTGATTCTCTGTGCGAGTCTCCGTGTTGCTGCAATGCCGTCTGTCTCTCCCTCTCTGCTTCACTTCCCTTCTCTCGGCCTCCTCTCCCGAGTTGAGTTTTGTCCTCTCGCGGGTCAAGAGTTGAACGCGGACCTCGAGCTGAGCGAGGTCGTTGTTGTTGTTGTTGCTGGAGCCAGCGCTGCCCTAAGCAGTCGCGAGGTGTGTATGGCCGGAGTGATGATATTATTACGCAGATACTGAAACGCAACAGTAATTTAAAATCAGGGTTGGGGAACCTTTTTTCCGCCAAGGGCCATTTGGATATTTATAACATCATTCGCGGGCCAGACAAAATAATCAACTTAAAAATTAGCCCGTTGTTATATTTGGTCAAACATTTCATTAACTCGCCCCTAATGCGATGGGCTGGAACTGCTTCTCTTTGGCGAGGCGTGTGATGTTAGCTGGTTATTGATGATGTTGCTGCAACTCGCAACTGCTTTTCCAGGTTTGCTCCGAGATTTATTGAATTTCGAGTCCCGCCTGTGGTTGCCTTGGCAGGGCCAGACCAAATTACTTCGCGGACCTTGTACGGCCCCGCGGGCCGGACGTTCCCCACCCCTGGTTCAAATGAACAAAGTGCCCTTGATCGTTCTCGGGGCGCTCCAAATATGTATCGGGTAATCCATTAATACAGTAACTGGGTCGCTTACTTATCAAATACATATATCGGGAGTGGTGTGGGGGGGGGGAATTGATCAATTAATTGAGAAAAGAGCTGGAGGAGTCACGGGAAGTGGGCCATTTGTAAAGCGCCCGCAGAGTTCCATTCATAAAACACTTGGATGGGTCACATGGCCCGCGTAAGACTCATTCACAAAAGTGCGGACAGCCGACGTGACGTCATCACTAAACACCGACACGACGTGTGTGTGGCCTGAAGAGGAAACGAATAAATGTATAACAGGCGACGTTTCGCGCGACGACCCTCAATGCACGCGTGTCCCACTTGTGCCATGGAGAAGGACCATTGCCCCGAAACGTCGCCCATTACATTGTTTTGTCTGTCGTGTTGTTGTTGGAGTGTTGCCGTTATTGTCTGTGCAGTTGATGGTTATGGTCGTGATGATGGATGATGGTGGTGGTGATGATGATGATGGTGGCGACGATGATGATGGTGACGATGATGATGATGGTGACGATGATGATGGTGGCGATGATGATGATGGTGACGATGATGATGATGGTGACGATGATGATGATGGTGACGATGATGATGATGGTGACGATGATGATGATGGTGACGATGATGATGGTGACGATGATGATGATGGCGACGATGATGATGGTGGCGATTATGATGATGATGATGGTGACGATGATGATGGTGACGACGATGATGATGGTGACGATGATGATGATGGTGACGATGATGATGGTGGCGATGATGATGATGGTGACGATGATGATGATGGTGACGATGATGATGATGGTGGCGATGATGATGGTGGTGGCGATGATGATGGTGGTGGCGATGATCAGGATGTTGGTGGCGATGATGATGATGATGGTGGCGGCGATGACGATGATGATAATGAATGACGATCGCCGTGATGGGCGGTGTGTGGTTGATGCGTGAGTGGAAGTGGCATCAGCGCTGACCTTGCCGCTCGCCCCTCTTTGTTGCAGTCGCTGCCGAGCGTCATCCACAGCGCGATGATCACCGAGCTGGAAGGTGCGTCCCTCACCAACACCCTCGCCACAACCCTCGCCGAAATCCTCACCAAAACCCTCACCAAAATCCTCACCAAAACCCTCACTGCCCTCATTTCCGAAACTACCCCCCCTCCCCTTTATATTGATGCCACTGGTTCTTCACGTTCTGTAGATGTAGATGTCACTGGTTCTTCGTGTTCTGAAGATGTAGATGCCACTGGTTCTTCGCGTTCTGTAGATGTAGATGCCACTGGTTCTTCGTGTTCTGTAGATGTAGATGCCACTGGTTCTTCACGTTCTGTAGATGTAGATGCCACTGGTTCTTCACGTTCTGTAGATGTAGATGCCACTGGTTCTTCGCGTTCTGTAGATGTAGATGCCACTGGTTCTTCACGTTCTGTAGATGTAGATGCCACTGGTTCTTCGCGTTCTGTAGATGTAGATGCCACTGGTTCTTCACGTTCTGTAGATGTAAATGCCACTGGTTCTTCGCGTTCTGTAGATGTAGATGCCACTGGTTCTTCACGTTCTGTAGATGTAGATGTCACTGGTTCTTCGTGTTCTGAAGATGTAGATGCCACTGGTTCTTCGCGTTCTGTAGATGTAGATGCCACTGATTCTTCACGTTCTGTAGATGTAGATGCCACTGGTTCTTCACGTTCTGCAGATGTAGATGCCACTGGTTCTTCGCGTTCTGAAGATGTAGATGCCACTGGTTCTTCACGTTCTGCAGATGTAGATGTCACTGGTTCTTCATGTTCTGTAGATGTAGATGCCACTGGTTCTTCATGTTCTGTAGATGTAGATGCCACTGGTTCTTCACATTCTGCAGATGAGGATGCCACTGGTTCTTCACATTCTGTAGATGTAGATGCCACTGGTTCTTCACGTTCTGTAGATGTAGATGCCACTGGTTCTTCACGTTCTGCAGATGTAAATGCCACTGGTTCTTCACGTTCTACAGATGGAGATGCCACTGGGGACACACAACGCAAAACTTTGCGTCGTGTCTGGTATTAAGCGTGCGCCCGATTCTCCCCTCCAGGTTTCCAGGTGGGACCGTACGAAAGACAGATGACTGAGAATAACTCGCAGTCGGGCAAGCCCTTGGCGCACCTCACAGGTAACGGCCACACCACCACGGCACGCCCGCGTTCACGTGCATGTGACCGAGTGAGCGGGTGAGCGAGCGAGCGTGTGTGTGGGTGAGTGGGTGAGTGAGTTGGCGAGCGTGTGTGTGAGTGATTGAGTGGTTGAGTGAGTTGGCGAGCGTGCATGCACATGAGTGGGAGAGTGACCAGGTGAGTGAGCGAGCGTGTATGGGATGAGTGAGCGGGCAAGCGGGTGTGTGAGTGGGTGAGTGAGTGAGCGGGCGAGCGTGTGTGTGAGTGAGCGGGCGAGCGTGTGAGTGGGTGAGTGATTGAGTGGGTGAGCGGGCGAGTGTGTGTGTGAGTGGGTGAGTGATTGAGCGGCTGAACGTGTATGTGAGTGGGCGAGTGAGCGAGTGAACGGGCGAGCGTGCATGCGACTGAGTGAGTGGTCGAGTGCGTGTTCTGAGCGAGCAAGCAACGCCGCTGTGCGCTGACCCCCACGCGCCGTTCCTTGCCGTCCCCGCGCAGTCCGCGCCTCCCCAGCGGCGTCTTTGCCCGCGAAGGGGGCGGGCAACGTGAGCTGGGAGTCCCTCGCCTTGGCCGGCGTCTCCTTCCTGCGGAACGGCCTCATCCTGCACAACGGCAACGTGCGCATCGACAAAGAAGGAGACTACTTCATTTACTCGCAGGTGAGCTCGGGCGGAGGCCCTGGGGGGGTGGTGCTCACCGCCCAGGAGGGGGCCGGGGAAGCGCGGAGCGTCCGACGGGTCGGTGGCCGCCGTCGCGAGGCGTCGCCGCGGCGATGAGTGGCCACTCCGCTCCCGTTCCCGCACCACCCCGGTTAGCGCGCTCGTGGCTACGTGCGGCGGAAGCGCACGTACGTCGACGGTGCGCCGGGCTACACGGACCACCTCGACGCACGGTCGCGCGTGGCATCCATATCCGCCACACGGAGGAGAACGAGGGGGGCAAGTGCCGACAGCCGGGGGGGGGGGGGGCGGGGGTTTCCTGCCTTCGACGGGCACGTCGTGACGCGGGCCGCAGCGCCATCGGGGTTATGGCTCCTTCCCGATGACCGGCCCGACCGGCAAACAAAAATCGACGTCCGCCGAGGGGCCCCCGGGGCTCCGCAAAACCACCCGGCGCACGCGGCACGCGGTACGCGGCACCACGCGCCGGGCCTGCACCGCCGCTACGGCGCTGCCACCCCCCTTTCAACTCGCTCCCCCGCGCCGACGTCCCGCTCACCGCTCGCCCCCCGCGCCCCCCGCTCCTCCCGCCGCCAGGTCTACTTCCAGAGCAGCGACTGCAGCGAAGGCGCCGGCGGGGACCACGTGCTGGTGCACGCGGTGAACCGCAAGGCGCCCAGCTACGAGATGCCGTTCACGCTCATGGAGGCCGTCAAGTCGCGCTGCGGCGACGGCGGCGGCCTCGGGCACCGGCCCGCGACGCGCCGCCCCCCCCACCACCCGCACCGCCAATCGCCGGGGCGGCCGTGGTTCGGCTCCAGCTACCAGGGCGGCGTGTTCAAGCTGGAGGCGGGCGACCAGCTGTACGTGTCCGTGTCCGACCTCAGCCTGGTGAGCGACGCGGCGGACAAGACCTACTTTGGGCTCTTCATGCTTTGAGGTGTTTTGGACGACGGTTCCAGTCCACCCCCCCTCCCCCCCCCCCGGATGTCCACGGCGGAGGGCGGGGGGGGGCGGGGGGGGTCGGGGGGGAACTTGTGGGACTCCGCGGGGCCGCAGCTGCCACGACGCGCCAACGCGGCGGCGCTTCGTTCCGTCGTGCCTCGTGGTGGGAATTCCCACGTCCCGCCGCCGTGGTTGGGGGTGGTGGACGGAAGATAGCGGTGAAGGTCGGAGCGGGGGAGCCGGGAGCGGAACGCCGATGGGTTTTTTATTATTCGGGAAGGTCCCCAGACGGAGGCCGGACCGTCTGGTCACGAGCGGCGGATTCCTCCTCCTGCTGCTGCTGTTGCTGCTGCAACTGCTGCTACTGCTGCTTCTGCTGCTGCTCCTGCTGCTGCTGCTCCTGCTGCTGCTGCTCCTGCTGCTGCTACTGCTGCTACTGCTGCTCCTGCTGCTACTGCTGCTCCTGCTGCTGCTACTGCTGCTACTGCTGCTCCTGCTGCTGCTCCTGCTGCTGCTGCTCCTGCTGCTGCTGCTCCTGCTGCTGTTGCTGCTGCTGTTGCTCCTGCTGCTGTTGCTCCTGCTGCTGTTGCTGCTGCTGCTGCTGCTCCTGCTGCTGTTGCTCCTGCTGCTGTTGCTGCTGCTGCTGTTGCTGCTGCTGTTGCTCCTGCTGCTGTTGCTCCTGCTGCTGTTGCTGCTACTGCTGCTGCTCCTGCTGCTGTTGCTGCTGTTGCTGCTGTTGCTGCTGCTGCAGCTGTTGCTGCTGCTGTTTCAGAGAGCCTACTTCATCGTGTGATCAATACGCATTCGTCATGGACTGTACCCATAAGATTGCGCAATATGAAATGTTCTTACTTTTTATACTTTCTTTCTTAATGGGAATTCATCGCGCAGAAGTGAAAACGAGAAGTTGAAACTTGTTCCGGTTTTACCCGGGGGGGGGGGGGAGGGGGGGGGGGGTACGGTCCAGGATGTGGCGTCTGTGTTTGGGTGGCGGCGAGGAATTGGTTCGGTACCAGGATCCCGTGCCGGTCTCGCCTTGAACTCCACCGCAGTTCTTACCGCTCAGTTCTTTCCCGGCGTGAAGACTTGACGAACCGCTTGCTACGCACTTGCTACGCGCTCTCCATGAGACCGCGTGTTAATGGTTTCTTTTTGTTGTAAATACGAAATATTTATTGGTGCTGTCACACATGGCCCATCGCGTGGGAGTGGTGGCGCGATGGTTAGCGCACTCTGATATAAATCCGGCGACGCAGCGTGCGGAATGGGAGGTGGATTTAAGAAACTCGCCCCCCCCCCACCCCACCCACGTTTCCACTGGAATCGAACCGGTGACCTGTGTCGCAGGTCCAGCCGGCGTGCTGGTGACCGTTCCCACCACCACCACCACCACCATAGTGGCAGGAGGAGCGTTCTCTCAAATGTGAATTTTAACTTTGTCCTACGCTGCGTGTCGATGCCGCGGAACGTAAGCGGGCACTTGGACAATGGGATTACGGTTGGGGTGGGACGTCCAATGCTGTTCCGTTATTTAAGAGTAATTATTTATATCCTCCCGATACACTGCACATTGTACAAAATCTATTTTTTATCAGACTTGTAAACGCGCGCGTTTTTGTAGATATGCGTTTGTCCATGACGTGTCGTGGAAAACCCAAAGGCAGCTTTTGTTGTGATTATTCGTCATCGTCGGTGATATTTTATACGAAGTTAGAATGTTAATTATTCAATGGCGAGTCATGCGTTAAGTTAAAGGTCGGCGAATAAAAAAAACGCAGGAAAAAAAATCCCTGTTCCCGTGTCTTTGTTTTTTGTTTCCAAAAAAAAATATCCAAAGCAGAACTAACAACCACATGGGCCCTGCCCATCCCTGGGCGCGACCCTCAACACACGGGGGCCCATAGAACGTACAGCCCAACATGGCTCACACTCCGGGCCATCAGACTCGACACGCTGGGGACCGCATTCGCCACCGTGATGCTTCGTCTCTTCCACCCTCTTTGTCCCGTTCCCGCAAACCTCCGGGAAAATGTAAAAGAATGGAAAATCCGATAACGCTGGAGGGGGGAATAAAATGGGGCGAGAGACACGCAAAACACCAATAAATATACAGCAGCAGGCGTCGGGGTTGGGATCGAACCCACGACCTCCTGTAGACCAGGCGAGGTAGTTAACATCTCCTAGCCACTGTGATGATGACGAGAGAGAGACACGCAAACTCCAAATATACAGCACGTGTCAGGTTTGGCTCTAATCCACGACCTCCTGTAGACCAGGCGAGGTAGTTAACATCTCCTAGCCACCGTGATGATGATGAGAGACACGCAAACTCCAAATATACAGCAGCAGGCGTCAGGGTTGGAATCTAACCCACGACCTCCTGCATACCAGGCGAGGTAGTCAACATCTCCTAGCCACCGTGATGATGACGAGAGAGAGAGAGAGACACGCAAACTCCAAAAATACAGCAGCAGGTGTCAGGGTTGGAATCTAACCCACGACCTCCTGTAGGCCAGGCGAGGTAGTTAACATCTCCAAGCCACCGTGATGATGACGAGAGAGAGAGAGACACGCAAACTCCAAATATACAGCAGCAGGCGTCAGGGTTGGAATTTAACCCACGACCTCCTGTAGACAAGGCGAAGTAGTCAACATCTCCTAGCCACCCAAAACGCTTCGCCATCCCACCGACAGTTGTCCCCACTTACCCCCCCCCGCCCCCCCCCCCCTGAGGCGCCCGTCACGTGGCGCTCGGCCCCAGGCCGCCGTGGCACCAACGCCAGCGGCCACTGCCTCCGCCACGGCGGCTGCCTCGACAAGGACAATCGCCGCCCGCGCGGGCCACCTCTGCGGAGACGGAGCCACCGAAGCAGCGGATGGAGCGTGATCATGGCGGGGGGAGGCCAACAATGTCGATGACAAACCAGGCCGCTGGGGAAGTGGCGGCCCCGAACCACCTCGGAATGCGACCGGCCCCAGGAGGCTTCGTCACCGACTGTTGCAAGATAAAATCCCGACCGCCACAACCTGACGCGTGGGAGGCGAGAATGAGCTCGGGAATTACCCCCCTCGCCCCCTCCTGTGTCGACGTGGCGGGGTCAGGAGGTCAGAGGCGCCGAGCTCCGAGAGCCTGGGCTCGACTCCAGGTCCCAGTCGAGTCGATGGTCTCATCCCAAACCACCATGACCCCAACTATCACCCCCCCACCCACCATCCCACCCACCTCCTCCCCGATCGCCTCGGCCTCGACAGGAGAATCGTGAAACGAGATCGGTGCCTCCACTCGACTCACCTCCACTCCGCCTCTGAGATTCTCTTCACTGTCTCGTGCGACGAACGTTACCGGCGTGGTGAAGTATGGTCAAACGGTGTCCATGATTAAGGGGGGAGGGGATTGTCACAGCTGGTTGTAGGGGGCCGTACATAGATGACGTCACGCGATTTTGGATGATTTTTGACCCCCCCCCCTCTCTCGTCACACGGCGTCACGAAAAGTCAGACCCCCCCCTCAAATATGACGTCACAGCTCTGCCCCCCCCCAAAAAAAAAACATGCTTCAAATCGCTTTAAACTATTGTCATTGTAGTGCGTATTTAATGTGGCGCTGCACTCTGATGATGTAGGAGTGTTATACCAATTAGTGTTGTTATAACAATTAGTTTTGCTATAACAATTTTATATTTATTTAAAGTTGCGCATTTTGATGTGACGTCACATTTCTCAACCCCCCCCCCCTCGTCACACATCGTCACAAATATCTGACCCACCCCCCCCCCCCCCCCCAGGTGCGTGACATCATTTATGGACGGCCCCTAGATCCACAACCGTGATCAGGCATCGTCAATTCCCTTTCGGGGCGAAGCCCCCCCCCCCGCCCGCTCTCTCTGCTAAGAGGTCTTCAACATCTCACGATCCTGCGATGCAGCGAACCGCCTGGCACCCGATTTCATCGCTCCGTCTCCAGGGTGGACGGGCCCTCTCTGAAATGATTGTCGCGTACATTGACCGTGATAGAGGTGAGGGGGGGAGGGGTTAGGTCGCCTAAATATGAGTTCGTCGATAAACCAGCCACTACCCGACACGTCGACAGAACGTGGCCAATTCGTCACTCGTGCAGGCGACAGCCGCAGCCATCTGGCTGTCGCCTGATGATGCTCGTTGTGATCACCGGCGAAGCGTCGTGCTCGGATTGTGAACGTTGTGGGTTTACTCTCCAACACACAGCGGCACGTGCTGCACTCGTGACGGATTGGCCACGTTCTGTTCACGTGACAAGCCCCTTGCTGATTGGCTCCGGTGGGGCGGGGGTTCAAGCGACACAGCGTTGATATCTTCTCGGTTCTTTCGGTAAAGTCACGTAGATGGGAAATAAAAATAATGTATTTTATTTGTTTTATTTTTATTTTATTATTTCCCTTCTACGTTACTTTACCGAAAGAACCAAGAAGATGAATCCCTGCAGTCACGAAAGCTTTCAATCGAAAAAAAAATACAACGTTTATACTTACACCATCGAACCCAAACAACCTCGAGTGTGGTCGTGAAAGCCTCCGTGTTAAAACTGACGTCCATTGCCACGTGCATCGCCACGTGCACGCACCCCGAGTGTGCGAGGCCTGGGTTGTGGGCCCGCTCTTGTGCAGTGCGACACTGATGGCCACACGGAGCTCCTTCACGGCGTTCAAAGTTCACGAGTTGCCGTCACTCAGGACAAAGGTCCCCCGTGTAGGCTCAGGAGACTGTTTGGGCCAAGTGTTGTGAGCGAGTAGCACTTTGGTTTGAAGCTTTCGTGACTGCAGGAATCCATACACGTTGGTTCTTTCGGTAAAGTCACGTGGGTAGAAAAAAGAATAGATCACGACGTTTCGATCGCAGCTCCACTGCTGGATTAGAATTTTTTTCCGCTTGAGGACGACCGCTTGCATTGCGCCCGAAACGTCGTTCTTTCGGTAAAGTCACGTAGAAGGGAAATAATAAAATAATAAAAATAAAACATAAAAAAATTCTCACGACGTTTCGGCCACAACGCAAGCAGCCGTCCTCAGGTGAAGAAACAGAGCTGTCGGAAAGACAGCGTCCTAATGAACACCGCTAAGCTTGGCAGCGTATATTTAAGCTGGGTGGGCGGAGGAGAGCGCCTTGACAAAGGAGTTTACATATCAACAGCGAAATTTAGCAAAGAACCAAGAAGATGAATCCCTGCAGTCACGAAAGCTTTAAATCGAAATCTTACGTCGTGATTCATTTTGTTTTATACCCACGTGACTTTACCGAGAGAACCAAGGAGTGCGAGTGGAACCCATGGGGGCCGGCACCGCGCCCGGCCGCCTTTGTCTCCCCAAGAGCGACGTCTCACGCGTCTCACGACAGTTTTAGGCTGAGTCGGCCGTGAGCGCCCCCGAAGTGCGCATCAATACCGGAAGTCCCGCATGAGCACGTGGGTGGAAATTCCACATTCCTATGGCAGATGTCGCGCCCGATGGCAGCTCCGCCAGCGTGAGGTGGTGGTAGTGGTGCTCGTGGTGGTGGTGGGTGGTGGTGCTAGTGGGTGGTGCTAGTGGTGGTGGTAGATGGTGGTGGTAGTGGGTTGGGGTTAGTACAAAGTGGTGGTGGTGGGTGGTGGTAGTGGTGGTGGGTGGGTAGTGGTGGTGGTGGGTGGTGGTAGTGGTGGTGCTGGTGGTGGTGGTGGGTGGTGGTGGGTGCTGGTGGTGGTGGTGGGTGGTGGTGGGTGATGGTGGTGGGTGGAGGTGGTTGGTGGGTGGTGGTGGGTGGTGGTGGTGGGTGGAGGTGGTGGTGAGTGGTGGTGCTAGTGGTGGTGGTGGGTGGTGGTGGTGGTGGGTGGAGGTGGTGGTGAGTGGTGGTGCTAGTGGTGGTGGTGGTGGGTGGTGGTGGTGGGTGGAGGTGGTGGTGAGTGGTGGTGCTAGTGGTGGTGGGTGGTGGTGGTGGGTGGTGGTGGTGGTAGTGGATTGGGGTTGGTGCTAGTGGTGGTTGGTGGGTGGTGGTTGGTGATGGTGGTGGTAAGTGGTGGTGGTAGTGGGTTGGGGTTGGTGCTAGTGGTGGTTGGTGGGTGGTGGTGGGTGGTGGTGGTGGGTGGAGGCGGTGCTAGTGGTGGTGGTGGGTGGTGGTGGTAGTGGGTTGGGGTTGGTGCTAGTGGTGGTTGGTGGGTGGAGGTGGTGGTGGGTGGTGGTGGTGGTGAGTGGTGGTGCTAGTGGTGGTGGTGCTGCGACGGATCGAGCCGCTGTGCGTTCTGGGTGCAGGAGGGGTTCGTGCGGAGGGGGGCTGGTGTTCATCCAGCAGTGGATTGACCGCCGTGGCTGCAGGCGACGACGACGATGATGAATCTGCGGAGGAATGCAGTGGAGGGGGGTGAGTGGTGAGTGGGGGGGGGGAGTGAGTGGGTGGTGAGTGGGGGGTGAGTGAGTGGGGGGGACAGTGGAGGAAGGGTTTCGTCATCACCGCACAAAGCTGTGTAGGGGGTTTCCAACGTAAAAAAACCCCTTAGCCCGCCCCCACAACCACATCCCATTAGCTCCCACCCCCTACAACACATCCCCTTAGCTGTCATCCCCTACAACACATCCCCTTAGCTCCCCCCCACACACATCCCCTCCCTCGTCACGAGATTCGTTATCATCTCGATCCGGTGCAGCAACTCGTCATCATCATCATCGTGGTGTCATCATCATCATCATCGTTGTGTCGTCATCATCATCATCATCGTGGTGTCGTCATCATCATCATCATCGTGGTGTCGTCATCATCATCATCGTGGTGTCGTC